TGCCCTAATCTGTCCACGGTTCCGCAGTGTCGGCATCATCATTGGCTGTAATTAAACCATCGCAACAGATGTCCCACCCACTCTCCCAGGTCGGAGTCGATGACGCGCTGCCACAAATCGCCGCAGCAGTGGTCCAGTTCGGAAGCTTCAGGCTCGGCATCGGGCCTGAGGTCTACGAAGTCGGCCTTGCGAAAACAGTTCTGCGCCCATGTAGCAGTCACCACCGCCCATGAAATGTTCACCATCTCCACAGCTGAATACCGGGATGCCCGAAGCGGCAAGTTGGCTGCCCGGTGGTCAACAGCTATGAGCAAGCACTCCGCAACGCGGCACCTAATGCGCGGATTAGGCTCAAGCCAAGCCAAGCGGTCACACTTTCGACGTTTCGTTGAGCGGCAAGGAAAAAGCGTGCTAGTCCTACCGTCGGCCATCATGACCACACACGCACACCAAGAGCGAGCAAGACGTGCACACACGACGCACATGCCAGAATGCGTGGAACAGCTTTGAGCCGGTTTCCAGTCAGAAAACGAAGCTAACTCGAGCCAACGTGGCGGGTGTCGCGGAGCGGTGGAGATGGGCGAAGTGGTTGTGATCAAGAGAGGAGAGCAGACTTGAGAGAGAAGGGCAAGGAGTTGCGATAATGAGAGGGAAGGATGCGGCGGGAGGGCGACCTTGAAACCAAACACACAGGAAGGAGGCAAGTTGGTACCTTGCTTGAAAGGTCTGTGAAACTCTCACGTAGAAAAACTTGGAAAGAGTGCATGCAGCCTGCATCGGTGCGCACGGCAGTGTTCGAAGAATCGGCGGCCGTGGTCAAAAAATCGTTTTGTTGCGCCGGCGGGTTTGTGTGGCCTCACGAATTTCGATATTTCACGATTCGTTCCACACAAACTAACAGCCGTTTTCACCCTTCCGCACGTGCACGGAAGACTTGCTGAGCCGAGTGCGAAGTGAGCGAGAACAAGCCGTAAACACAAAACGAATCGCAAATTATCAGAGTTGGTGGGGTAGCGTACACGCGTGCGCTAGTCACAGATTATCGGATACAGTCGGTGGCCCGACGATGTTGGCAAATGGTATGGTCACTCCAGGCTGGCAACGCCAACGACAGTACCAGCGATCGAAAACAGGGTAGATGGCCGACGGGTCGTTGAAGATCGGTGGCAGTGTGAAAACAGGGCCTCCTCTGGCGATGCGGGGTGCTATGCGATGCGGGGCTGCTATGCGGGGCTGCGGGGTGAGTAGCGGGGGGACAAAGGATAGAGGGGTGCGCAACAAAAAGCGGTCGGGGAGAGCGGCAACTAGCGGGGCGCGGGGGCAAGGTCGGCGTTTTAACATAAGAATGTATGGGCACCTCGCCGATGCCTGATAAGTGGTCGAAATTCGTTTCCCGGGAAGTCAGCAGACTGTCGACTTCCGTTCGCTATAACCGATCAGCGGCGCTCGAGACGTTCGTTGTAAGTGCGATTTTGTGCCATTGAACCAATGTATCTTTTCACGGTCACACGGGTATTGTTCGTTTTGAGATGGGGCGGTTATATGTGGGCTTGACTGTATACGTAAATGTTGCACTGCAAAGTTGAGGACGAGCAAACTGGATTGACACGGGAAAAGCGTATCTAACATCGAAAGTTTTATTTACACGAAGAACCAAAAAGGGGGTGGGGTGAAATACAAGAGAGTGGCACTGCAAGCAAACCAGGCATGATCCTTTTTTTTTTGTCACCCCACCCCCTTTTTGGTTCTTCGTTTCAATAAACTTCAGTAATTAGATGTGCTTCCCTGTGTCAGTCCAGTTTTTTTGTCCTCAACTTTGCAGCCCAGCCTTTACGTATACAGTATGTTCCATCTAGCCTCCACACAAGCTTTTTCTCAACAAAAACACAACGTGCGAGAAGGAACAGACGAGAACAGGCATTGAAGGTGCACCTGTCCTCATCTGTTCCTGCTCGTGTGTTGTGTTTTTGTTGTGCAACTCCCAATAGTTTCTATGAGATGAGTAAGCTTTGATGAGCAGTCTGCTAGGCAACAGTGGCCGCAGTTAAGCACAGTGGCTGTTGGTGTCAACCATGGTGCAACAGTGATGAGGTGGTAGAGCATCCACCTCGAGTACAGGAGGTAATGGGTTCCATTTACAGAGACACCAAAGACTAACTGGTTTTTCTTATCGAAAAGAAGGTACTCATTCTAAAAGGTACGGCATGCAAACACATGAAAAAAGTCAAGACAGTGGTGTTTTGATTTCTTTCATGTGTTTGCACGTCGTGTCTTCTAGAATAAAATACTTACCACCTAGCTCAGTTGTCTCTTATTCTAAATGAAAGATGGTATTTGGACATGGCACTTAGTGGCACGAATACTCATCTCAAAAAAGGCAGCACCTCATATCCACTTTCTTGAATATAGTTCATTCTTATTCTCTCTGCCCCCATGAAGCTATGTCATACACTCTTACGAGTTGCAGAAATTAGCATCTTTCGTAACCACAATCCACTATCAACCCCTACCTCACAAGTAGTCAACAGACAGGCCATAAGGCTCACAGACGTGTTTATGTGCGATACCTGTGTCCCCGTTTATTTTGTTTTCACTACAATATTACTTAAAGATGCCATCCCAATCGGCCCGTTTTGCAAAGATAGCTTAGATGGCTGGAAGGTACATCCATCCTGTAAAGACATCATTGCATTGGTGGTTGGTATTTCCAAACATTTTGCAATACTCTGGCTAGATGAACTTAGCTCTGGCTACTTGAACTATACGAAATGTTGAAAAAGCTTTTGATGTCTCTAATGTTATTGTTTGAAGTACAGCAGGAATCTTTTCAGTAAAGCGAGCATGCAAAGAATGAATTTTTTTCAAAGAGTTCTAACAAAATGCTACAGGCATATGCCACATAACAATACTACACAAACTTCTATGAACGTGACTGATCAACGGTGGAAAGGTTTGTTAATTTATTCCAAGCATGTCAACAGCCCCCTAGAGAACTACGATTAAAACTTAAAGTTGCCAGAAATATTGTATTTACTCACATAATGAACCCACCTTTTTTTTTTTTTTTTCCAGAAAAGTGGACACCAATTTGTGGGGAGGGTTCATATGCGGGATAAAAAAGTCATGGGAGTTATAACAGGAAAAATTTTGCATGACGGTTTTCCTTGTCTTCGTCCGCGAAGTGCGCAGCAATTGTTTCTTGTAGCCCGAAGCCCTTCTTGTTTTCTCTCGTAACGAATGTGCACGAATCGATGCTCAAGTGTCGTCCAGCCAGAGGCTTTCCGTGCTTCAGCGCATGCTGGACGAACTGTATGTTTAAAACCAGCTGTGTAGATAGTGTACCAGCCGAACGTGCCCTGCGCAACAGGTGTCCAACTAAGTTCATAAGTTCACTACGATAAACCCAACAACAAAAGCACAGTGTTGGACGGCGGCGCACAAACGTTGTGGATGCACAGTACGCCATCGGCGCTGTTGCACTTCGCATGGCCTCCGAGATGCAGGCGTGTAGCCTATTTCTTCACCACGCCCCCCCTCCCACCGTCTAGAGGGCCACGCGCTTGTTTTTTGCTTTGTTCTTTGTTGCTGTGCTGCCTGGCGCTATAAGCAAAGAGGTTTCTCCTGCGTTCAACAGATGACGCTCTGTCCCAAAAGGTGTGACTTTTTTTATTGACGTCGTCCGAGCTTGCGCTGCTCGCAACTGTTTAGCAGGTGTGCTAACGATGTTTTGACTTTTATGGCATCATTATACTGTGATATAATGGCTTGATATAACGTTATCCCGGTCGTCAATGGCACTGGCCCTCATACCGAAATAAATTAATATAGTATACATTAATGCTTTTTACTTTTCAAGGACCAAGGTGGGAGATGGTTCATTACACAAGTAAGTACTGTACTAGCTGCCACCATAAATTTTTCAGTACTGCTCACCAGTCAATCAGTGCACACCGAAAGCGCTCATATGAAGATATTACAGAAAGTCATCATCTCAGAATAAACATCAAGCCATTCTTTTTCTCACCCACCGTCATTATTCATGCCAGAAAGTTTGCGAGTTCTTGTTAATGAAACGTATGTGGTGCTGCAACCAACATAAAAGTGCTTTGAAAAATGAATAATACCCGAAGTGCTAATAATAAACACTAGTAGTTAAGAGGGCTTCGAGGAACAGCGGGCTTAGCAAATTAGCAGGATCGAAATGTGCATGATTGGTATACTAAATGACTTATAGGGTATACGGAATGCATGCTTTTTTTTTCAAATTAGCGTTACATTGTTTACATTTTGGGTAAAACATGCATCTTGTAATTAAAACATGTTGGTGGTTTTTGATGCCCACTTCAAACAGAATTCAGCAATGGTGTGCACGGATCCACTTCTTCGATAGCTCATAGCAAACGACTGAATAAAATGGTTTCACTCGCCTTCAGGTAGCTTCGACGACCGAGTATTACAGATAGCTTAGATAGCTTAACATAACTTTTTTACGCAGATTCTCTTTTCGAACGTCCCTAGCCCAATTAGAAGATTAGCATAAACAAATCTGCAAGATAAGCCTCCACTTTAGGGGCAATATTTATCATTCTCAGTTTTTTTTTTCTTCTTTTCACTTTTTTTTTTGGCACGTTGACCCTCTGCTAGATGATGCCACTGTCACAGCTCAGGCACGTAAACACTATCCTGGTAAGCTAAAACACACTGTGTGCAAATAACATCTGCAGCATGGTAACATTATTACCTTTGCTATCAGACTAACACAGAACTACAACTTTCTATTGCCGCCACAGAAAATGGGCACAAAGATGTCGGTGGTTCAGCAGGAACCACTGACACATTGTGCCAAGACAATGTGTTCCAGAGATCACTGGTGAACTGACAGAAAGTGAGGAGGAAAAAGAGTGAAGTATGCTTCGCAAACTACAAATGCACATCTATGAAAAAAAAAAACAACAACGAATGTGTGGGTGGAAAAGCATGCAGCCAGATAAAGTGAGAAGTTACGGCCATCTGAAAGCATTTTATTGTAACCACTAAAAATAACAAATCCTCAATTGCTCGAGGCACTTGGTGGCACAGAGTATTTGCATGAATAAAATGCCTATTCACAGAAACAACAGAGCTCGAGTATATAACTGATGTAGAAATAACGTGCTTAGCAAAACAACAAACAAAATATACAGACATCCTAGCAACATTTCAAAAGTCCTAAAAATGAAGAAATAATCAGCTTAACCACCCTGCAATAAGCAGAAATGAAACTGAATAAGAATTACAGAAAGCATGTCATAAAAGAAGAAAAGGTGCATGCAGTTGAATCTCATTAATGCAAACTCGTCTACTTCCAACTTTGTGGCATACTTGAACTGACACAACATGTCATTGAGATTACATGCATTTCAAAGAACGAAAATTTCCGGCAATTTGCTTTACGAATTGAGAATGCTGGATAGCGTGACACTCCACCAGCAATGCACATTCAAAAAGTGGTTGTACTGAACGCATGCTGGTCATTACTGCTGAAAGGGCTGCGCAGCCAATTGCATTGCAAGAAAAAGATTGTGGGTACCTCTCAGTGTATCTCTCAGCTCAGCTGACAAATAAGCGAGGACCAGTTTTGGAACATGCCTGACATCGCGGTGCTATGCACAGGTCTCACGTGGAGCACAGTGGATATCATACAAGCGTGCCATTTTTATTTACTATCAAAAATATGATCTAAACGTAGGCTTGCGCCACCACTTATTTTCACTGGCTGCACAATTTGCAAATGTGAATTTCAAATAGCAAGTGTTTCAATGAAACAACAAAACCATGGGAACAAAGATTGGTTATCCTATCCAAACAACAACGGTTACCTTGAAATTAAGGTTATTTCTTGTGGAAGAGTTGGCAATTATAGTAGTACAAACGTCGCAAGTTCGGTCCGTAGCAGCAAAAAAAAAAAAAAAAGCTGAGTGTAAATGTATCCCAACTTGACAAGTATGTTAATGCAACACACTGTGCCACATTGCTCGACACATCACTGGCCTTTTCTTATAACGAACTGATTGAGTAGAACAAATTCTTGAGGTTCTTGGAGTTTGAATTGCTGAGGTTCAACTGCATAAACATATTAATGAAAATCAAAGATCCCTTGACCAAGAAAAGATGATGAAAGGTAGAGAACATTGACCCCACATACACTAGAACCTCGTTCATGTGCTGTTGTTATCCTAAACAAGGTACAAACCAAAGCAACTAAAAGACATTATAGCTTCGATCCAGCACAGATGGTAAATAACACTCTAGCACACGATGAAGCTTGTACTATCCTGGGCAAGGTAAATTTGGTGAAGACTTGCATCCTAACAAAAGCACGTTGTAAGACACCTCAAAACACAAGAGCCCACTTAGTGACTGTGGAAGTTTTCTACAACTTAGCTGTTGTGCCTCTTGGTGTTAGTCACACAGGCCTTACACCTTTTCTGGCTCATATCCAATCTACTGAATTGATAACGTATGATGAGGTTGTAGCAAATGAAGCACAGCCAAACAGGATAATTTGCCTTGTTCAAACCTGCCAACGCTGGCACTAGGAAATCATACAAAATGATACTGCATGAACGAGGTTCTACTTTAAACCTTTGCACCAATGTATATAAGAAAGCAAATGTTTAGCCCCATGAAAAGTTATCCGTTGCAAACAACATACCGCATGCACCAATTTGAACACTAAAATGTTTTTCTAAATCTGCTTCAAAAAGTTATGCCATTAAAAGATGTGCAAAAGATAAGAAATAGCAGTAAAAATTAAAAGATGAGTAAGAGCAATAAAGTTGGCAGTAGTATGAAAAAAAATATATGGCATGCACAAGTGTGTTATACTACAAGCCCTTAAACCTACCCCATTTTTCTTAAAATTGTCACGATAAGAAAAGTAGCTCAAGATTAGAAAAACATGATCACAGATTTGCATAAAGTATAGAAAAAGAATAAGAAAACAAAATAAAGAATCCTGCTTGAGCAATTTAATTGCTTCTTGCCACTGGCCCCACTAAATGACAACAACGAAAAAATATGCTCCGACTAAGTTTGTGACACGAGACAGCTGCCGTAGGAACTTTGCACCTGTTTATCACAGTTACATTAATTTAAAACCTCCCTTATAAACTTGCCAAACACAAAACCCCAAAGACATGCTTGGCACATAATTGTGTGTGGGATCACTGAACACCAGCAAATTGCAAGCACGTAATTAGACTGTACAGTGCTCCATTTCTGAGGCAGAAGAAGTGAAATTGCCAACTTGCACAGAGAGCTGCCCACAAAGTACGTAACATTGTATTGCTAGTACGAAAAAAGGTTTCAGCAGCCTTTTGCATGAACACAATTATTCTCGACGTTAAATTCTGCAGGTGGCATTGTGTTGTGCAGTTTCGCTTTGTGCTTTATTTGCAAACTGCTACTTGGCATGTTTCCCCAGCAATACATTTGATAAGTAGCAGTCACTTTCTGCTGCAGCACTACTGAAGTCTGCCTCTTCCTCTAAAAAAAAACTCCGACAGCGACGATCAAGCGTAAAAAGCACTTTCATTTTTAAGATGCATTCCGTCCTGCACGAGTGTGTGATATCCTACAGTAACTCTCTGGCAATGACTGCTTTTGGTTGAGTGTAATAATGTTGGGCACTTTACGGCATGCCCTCCAACATGAGAATTAGAGCCTAGAAGAGCCAACAATGAGCAATAAGTAGGATATGACATACAAACAAGCATCTTGCAACATCCTCATCTGTGCAGTCAGAGGCTGCTCCCGATATCATTGTTGGGAGTGGCAGTGTGGGAATGAAGCAAGCCAATGCAAGTCAGCTTCGAGGATTGCAGCCCCTGGTTACGAGCCCCAATGAAGTCCTATGGGGGGGTTTAAAACGTTCTGGTGTTCAGTGAACTCAACGCTATGAGGGCGGGGCCACAAAATAAAACCAGTTTAAGAGCAAGATGGGGGAAGTGTTCAGAAAGAGAAGAGTCCCGAAGGGCTCTTCCACTGGGGCCATAGCTTGGAGCGCCGCCGAGGCCACACACGACGCGTCGGGGTTCCCCACATGCATACTGCCGCTCTCCGCCGCTAGAGGGAGAAACACACGTGCTCAACCGTAAGTGCCTTGTCTTTAAAGACAGGAACACAATCCTTTTATCAGCAACACAGGGCTCGGTCATCTGCACCTGTGCTTGTGAGAGCGCAGGAATAATGCTAATGACTGTCGAGTACACGCCATAATGAGGAACAAATAAACGCACCTATGGACCCCTGAAAAGTGTAACATTAGCATAATGCTCTTCAGAACCGACAATTTCACCCAGCGACCATGCAAGTGCCCTAGTTCTATTTATAGGGCTTTTTGCAGAGAAAGCCGAAATAATTGAGGGCAATAGAGTAACAGCAAGCTTGATAATGCACCCAAACCCTGTACATACTGCTCCCTTACTAATAAATCACCATTCATAGATACAAGCGTTCAAAGAACTACAGAAAATCTGATCCAGTTACCCTCTGCCATTCATTTCTGTAACAACTCAGTATAAAAGATCCCCCAGATGGCACCCAATAAAACGTACCGGGAGGCGAAAAGCAGTGCACATGACCACAGCGAAGAATAAGACTGAAAAGACCCACTGAAGAGCCAAACTGGCTACTGGGCAGAGGGGCGACGTGAAGAGCACAGTCGTGCAGCCATTCTCACCTCGTCCTGCGGCTGGCCATCGTAGTTGACACTGTCGAGGGACTCGCGCGAACCCCTCCGCGACCCGGACTTGCCACTGCCACTCTGCCTCTTGTCCTTGTGCGTCGAGAAGTCCAAGTAGGGTATTGAGCGGCCATGCCGCTGTTCCAGAGCCTGCCATATTTATGGCAGAGTCATATTCATGAGCATTTTTGATAATCCAAACAGAATTCTGTAGTCCCCCTTGAGTTTAAAAAGTATGCACATTGTGCAACACAGTACTGCAACTGAAACACGCAATCAGACCTGCCAACACAGCTATGCGACTGCATGCAAAACACACATACCTCCTTGCGCGCCCTAAGAGCACAGTCCTCCAGTGTCTCGGCTGCCTCGTACTTGCCCTGTCGTCGATATAGGGCACCCAGGTTCTTCAGTGTGGTAGCCACAGTGGGGCTGCATGCAAAACACAACAGCTGTTACTTTTGACACCCACAACAAATACCTTTCTCACCCACTCTTCACTTATACATTTTCTTGTACATTCCCATGTTTCCTGAATTTTGTACCAGCAATAAATCTACCGACACCATTCTATTACAACCCCCTTCACACACATTGTTGCTGCTAGGTTCCTGCCCCGATATGTTGTGAATTGTTGTTCCGCTAGATTTATTGAGAAGATATGCCAATGAGTCTGGTGATGTGGATTGCCATATAGCCATTGAGTCGCTCTAAATAAGTAACAATTGTTGGGGCTTAATGTCCCAAAAATACAATATTATAAAGGACGCCACAGTAGAAAGCTCCAGAAATTTTGACAGCCTGGGGTTCTGAATGTGCACGGGCCTCAAGCACATTCACCTGCATCGAAAATGTGGCCGCTGCGGCCACCAAGCGCGTTGAACACAGCCAGACTTCCATCAAAGAGTTCTTATGGCCATAAATTTTTCTGAGGTAGGGTTGTGTGAAATGTGTCTGCTTTATTATTTAGCTGCATTTTCCCCCATTCAATTCCATGTTTATATTACAGTCAGAACTCGGTACAATAAATTTCAAAGGGGGGGGGGGGAGTGATTCTTAAATGAAAAGAAGTTAAAAGTGAGCCCCATAACTGTCTCTCAGGGGGAGGACACCTCAACAGTAGCTGACGAGGAATGGGGGTAAGGAGGGAATAAAAAGGATAGGAATTAAAGGTATAGAGATAGAGATAGGCGCAGGAACAGCCACATATGGAAGTAAGAAGAAGATATGAAAGATGGACCCGGAAGTCTGAGGAGGGTGCACCACTCAGCGAGAGCTCTTGTCGGCGTAAGGAGATGGCATAGGGCGAGCCAGTCGGCTAGAGCTGCGCTGTCGTCGGAGATCGGGGGGGCACAACCGGTCGGCACTAAATCCAGTGAGCGAGTTCTCAAGGGGCCAATAATATTGCTCGTTATCTTGAAAAGTTGTTCAAAAGTAAGAAATTCAAGCTTAAACCGTAATTGCAATTAAATGAATTGCCTACCTGTGCTGGGTATACATCCGCAATTGCATTATTCCTTATTAAGTGACAAAATAAACAAAGTATTACAGAATAAGTGCATGTTTATTTGAGAATGAGCATGACCTCTGCCTGATGAGTATAGCTCAACTGCTGCAAGGCAAAAAAAATCCTGAGTGTGCTTTCATCTTAAGCACTTCAAAACATCAGCATTAGATACTGATTCATCACGTTGGTTAGCGTTTACTGTTTCAAGATTGTCTTTGCTTTCATCACCTTTTTCTTATTGTAACTGCTACGGATCTAACTGGTTCGTCCGCTCAGACGACACGCATACTTTGTCATCGCACTGTGCATAGTGTTCAAACTTAAGTGAACACTACGCACCCTGCAACTTCATGTCATAGGTCACTTGCATCACATTTTTCACTATCGCCACACTCCTTTTGTGCTCCTTTCAGAGCTAATCGTGAACACACAACCATCAAGTAAAGGCGAGCAAAACAACAGTGAAACGAAAGCTTTCCAACAAAACAGAGGCAACGAGGCAAAGCCTGACATGAAAAGCAAGTACAGGCGATGGTGACAGCGCTGGCGCACATTTAGATTTTGCCAGGCGTAGAGTCACTATGTATGCTCCCCACAGGAGAAGAGTTGCACATAAGTCTGCCATCTTGCCTACCAAGACATCCTTGTTAAGCAGGAAGGCTACTCCTGTCAAATGTAGGAGCTGGCACGGCTAGGCAGCTCCTTGTGTTTTTCGCCCGCTCATGACGCGTCGCAGGTGCAAAAACTACCGCTTTCAAAAAAAAAAAGGGAAAGCTTGAACAATCAAAGAACTTAGAAGAAACTGGTGAGAAAGGCTGTTCGATAGAAGTCACTATTTGAAGCAATATTTGGATTTGTGCAGTGCGAATAGCAACATTCTGAATGCAAAGCAACTTTGAATACTGAAGTGTGAGTACGAATTGAATAATTTTCAAATATTTCTCAAATAGTTGGTCTGAAATAATTCTCCAATAGTTCGAAGCAAAATTGCAGATAAGAAAGTTGTAGCAGATTTCTAAGCCTATTCTTATGAGAAAGCAACGTAAAACTGTTTCTTTCGGCTAAGTTGATAAAGCATTGCCAGGGTGGTGTTTTGTAGCTGTATGAATAAGGCAATGCAGCAACCGAATTTTATTTATGTTTGTGATTTGGTGAAACCAAAGTGTTGCCCACAACACTTCACATGTGAAAAGCAAAGATGCCGTTTCCTCAGCCTATCCTCCTCTTTCAACTTGATTGATTGATTGATTGATATGTGGGGTTTAACGTCCCAAAACCACTATATGATTATGAGAGACGCCGTAGTGGAGGGCTCCGGAAATTTAGACCACCTGGGGTTCTTTAACGTGCACCCAAATCTGAGCACACGGGCCTACAACATTTCCGCCTCCATCGGAAATGCAGCCGCCGCAGCCGGGAATCGAACCCGCGACCTGCGGGTCAGCAGCCGAGTACCTTAGCCACTAGACCACCGCGGCGGGGCTCCTCTTTCAACTTCTGTGGAAGCCTAACAACAGATGTAGCGGGCAAGGGTGTGCTCCCTTCAAGTCGGGAGTTCCAAATCCGCCTTGTAGACTTCAAGATATCCGAACATCTGACATTTTAGATGTCAAAAATCTGGGGTGTGCAATTTTGCAAACTTCCTGCCCAAAGTGCAGGTTCAGAACAGCATTAATTGAGCCCCCAGCCTCTGCCACATCTATCATCAGAGAGAGAGAGAACTCTTTATTGAAATGCAGAGAATTTAGCCGGCATATAGAATTCGCTGACTTGATACTCTGCGTGGAGAAGGGGATTGAGGATTAAAAGCACGAATAGGAAAAGAGAGAGAAAAAAATACAATGTAAATATAGATGATAGAGTAAAAACAAATATAGGAAAAGGCCACCTCTTGGACCATTGAATGAGGACGCACATTAATAGTTTTTTCATAGTGTCAAGCTACAGCTACAGCTTGTCTAGCTGACCAATGCTGTCCAAGTATGCAAACAAAAGTTTCATAGCACGCCTCTGTAAAGTGGGGCAGGCTAAAGGTCTCAGTACACAGTCAAGGGAGAAAGTTCTCTCGGTTATAGAATGCGTGCAATGTTCATAAAGTGCCAATCATCAGCGTATGCTCTACACTCAAACAATATACGTTCCACAGTTTCGATGGAGCCACAGTTGTTGCAATACAGACTCGCTGACTGACCGAAGCGGTACCGTAGGCTGTTCAACATAGGCACTGTTTAAACGTAGACGATGGTATAGCGTTTACAGATGGCGAGGAATTTCGAATGAGAGTCTTGTTCTCAGATAGGACTCGATTGAGTGAAGGAAGGCATAATGATGTGTCGGAAGGTTCCAGCGTCTCTTATTTTCATCAATCGCAAGTCTTTTGGCCATCTGGGCTGCATCTGATTTAGTGAAATAAGTTCATCTGTAATTGTGGTGTCGAAGACCTTTGCGTGCTGCTTCATCTGCTTTTTCGTTGGCGGAAATGCCACAATGAGCTGTATCCACTGAAATGTGATAGAGTTCCCTGCGGTAACAGGCAGGTGATGTAGATATGCTATGTCGAATGAACAGGGTAAGAATTCGTTTTCTTTAGGAGGTTAAACAATATATGTAGCACTTCCTTGGAGTCGGTGAAAATTACCCATCGGTCTGGCGTTTAGCACAAGATGTAAAGAACAGCTTCTTTGATGCCATGAAGTTCTGCTGCTGTCGAGGATATCTTCCGTTGAAGTCGACAGGATAGCATTTGTTTTGTAGAAGGGATATAAAGTCCATAAGCAGAAGTCTCCTGGGTGGTTGAGGCATCAGTGTAAATATGCCAGTGCTGAGCATAGTTCTCGGCTAAGAAGAGGAGAGTAGTCTGCACCAGCGCAGCCTGTGACATTCGTCTCTTTGCCCCATTGATGACAGGTACAACTTTTTTTACAGTTAGAGGCGAAAGTGTCCAAGGAGGAAATGTTGCAGGCATTAATTTTTGTGGCTGATTAACAGGCGAGAGTTGAAGCATTCGCACAGCTTGGCCGAACGAAGAATTGCTGTGCATTAGGTGAACTCAGTACAGGAAATGCTTTTTACCTTGTAATACATGTCGAAGATGAGTACGCATGGTTTCTTGGATAGAGATGACATCCAGTGGGTGACATCCTGCTTCCGCTACACTTCCCAATGCTGATGAGCTCTTGGGGGCCCTAGACATATTCGTAGGCAGCTGTTGCGTGCGGCTACCGAAATTCTCTTGTTTACTGGGGAGAATCGGTGAAGCTCCGGTAGACAATGGCACAATGTTCCTTCAATGTATGCTTTCTGAAGCAGTACCATTGAGCAGCATCTACATTCCCATCGTGTTCCAACCATGAAATTGAAGAGTTGAGTCGCTGCTACTATTCTAGTTCGAAGTTTCTTCACCTGAGGAAACCAGGAAAGATTTCTGTCAATGATGAATCCCAGAAATCTTTGAGACCGTAAATAGGTCAGCGGTCGTCCACCGAGGAGTAGTGCATACTTGCTCATTTTGTTTCTCGTGAAAGCAATGGCTGTGGTCTTTTCTGGTGAAAGGTGCATGCTTGGGGTGCTTGATAAGTGGAGATGTTCTGTAACGCTTTTTGAAGTCGCTGTTTGGTGATGTAACGTGACCTTGAAGCGTTTCAGATACAGATGTCATCAGCGTAAATCGTGATGTGTACTTCTCAAGGAAGTCACTTCGTTATGTGTATCAGGGTAAGGTTGAAAAGGAGCGGGCTGAGTACAGCACCCTGGGGTACACCCTTATCTACTGTAGAGAACTGTGTGGGACCATTTGGAGTGCTCATATATTTTTCACTCTTTTAGATAGTTCTCAATCCATTTGTATAGATTCCCTCCTAGGCCGAGATCTTCCATGGTTGCGAGAATGGCATGGTGAAAGACTGAGTCGAAAGCTGCCTTGATG